AAAATTCCCGGGTGGCGACTCTGAAATAATTAAATAAATCCCGTTTCGACTGTCCTTTAATTGAAGAAAACTCCCCACGCGCCCCCGCGGGCGCGATAAAAAGGAGGTGCGACACCCTTTTCACTGTAATGTTTCTGAGGCTTAATTTACCGTGCACAGCTGGTGTTGAGGCTTCTCTTTGTCATTCAAATATGCACCGTTATCATCTTGATTCTAGTTTACATGTGTGTAATGAACGATTTTCTGAGCCACTAAAATATTCAAGGTTAAAATTGGAAACAAAAATTTATCCAGCTTTAAAACAAACACATATTTTGGATTATATATTGCATATCCCATTTTTTATCCAATGTACCAAACGAAGTATATAGCACTAAATAATCCGGTATTATTAATCCCAGGATTATAATCTCGGGATAACCTTGTTTACGAATCAAACGACTCCTAAAGGTTCGGAGTTGTAATACTTTTAAGTTAGTGGATTCTAAATTAATAAGTAGTACATATTCAATAAATTTCTTAAGATAATACATGGTTTGAATAAAAGCTATTGGGTTCGGTCAAACCTGCATCTCGTACACTACCTCCGCCCTTGTCATCCTACTGTGGCATAGTTTAAACATCAACAGTCAAATTTCTTGAATTTGATTGAACTTGGACATATAATCTTTTAGTTTTTTAAAATAAAATTTTCTATAAATTTAAAAATTATATAAAAAATATTATAAATCACAAGAATTATTAATTTGAAAGGCATAAGAAAAGATTACTATCAATAAAAAAATTATTTGACTCTCAAAATCCAAAAATCCTCGTATAAATTGAGACTGAGGGAATACTCATTTTAACCAGCAGTTTAAGTTCATTTCTATTATGTGAAAAGTTTTAAGTAAGATACGATAACCTCCCATATTTCTAAAATATAATTACATATACTATATATCTAAATAACTTAGTTAGATTGATAATTTTTGCAGGTTTAAATGATGACAAATCATTTTGAGTTCAAGTAATATAGTAATGTAATTATGTAAATAATATTGATTCTTACGATTCACATGATTTCATAATTTAAATATTATTTTTTCCAACAACAACAAACATAGTATATTCTCATAAATGGAGTTTTGGGAGGATAGGGTGTACATAGACCTTACTCCTACTTTATAAAGATAGAGAGGTTGTTTTCGATAGACTCTCGACTCAAGGAACAGTGAAGATAAAGCGACAAGTAGCAAATAATAGTAACAACAATATATTAAGTTAACCGGCGAGAATGACACAACATGTAATAGTAAAGAACCATAAATAAGATAATACAAAAATATCCTAATACTACTGGTAAGCCTATGAGGAACACACTACTATCTGTCAACCAACAACCATAATCCTCGACCTCCACATCTTTCTATCGTGGGTCATATCCTCAGTAAGTTGGAGCAATGGCGTGTTTTGTCTAACTACCTCTCTCCAATACTTCTTAGGCCTGCCGATTTCGTTTCTCAGACCCGCAACGTACAACCTCTTACACCTTCTGACCAGAGCATCTATGTCTCTCCTCTTTACATGCCTGAACCATCTCAGCCTCGACTCCCGCAACTTGTCCTCCACCGATGCCGCTCCTACCTTGTCTTTAATAACTTCATTCTTGATATGTCCTTCCTGATATGACCACACATCCATCTCAACATTCTCATTTCAGCTACTTTCATCTTTTTGACGTGAGACTTCTTGACGGGCCAGCACTCAGCCCCATACAACATAGTCTTTCTAACCAACTCTGTAGAACTTGCCCTTAAGTCCAGGTGGCACACTCATATCACACAAAAACCCCGAGGCGAGCCTCCATCTCATCCACCCCGCTATAATATGATGGGTAACATCCTCGTCAATCTTCTCGTTGCCTTAAATAATAGACACAAGATACTTGAAACTATCTCTTTTGAGGACGACTTGAGTACCAATCTTCACTTCTTCGCCTTCTTCATACATCCCATCACTGAACTTGCACTCCAAGTACTTAATTTTCGACCTATTCAACTTAAAACCCTTAGACTCCAACATTTGTCTCCAAACTTCCAATCTAGCGTTAACTCTGTCACGCGTCTCATCAATCAGGACTATGTCATCAGCGAATAACATACATCATGGTACCTCCCCTTGTATATGTCTTGTTAGCACATCTTACGCTAAGGCAAACAAAAATGGGCTAAGAGCTGATCCCTGATGCAATCCCGTCTCCACTGGAAAATGATTCGAGTCTCCTCCTGCAGTCCTCACCCGAGTCTTCGCTTCCTCGTACATGTCCTTAATCACTCTAATGTATGCTACTGGGACACCGCTAGCCTCCATACATCTCCATAGGACCCCTCTCAGGACTTTATCATAGGCCTTCTCCAGGTCCATGAATACCATATGCAAGTTCTTATTCCTTTCCCTATACTGCTTCACCAATCTCCTCACAAGATGAATGGCTTCTGTAGTAGACCTTCCTGGCACAAATGCAAATTGGTTCTCGGAAATAGTAACACTACATCTCACCCTCCTCTCCACCACCCTCTCCCAAATTTTCATCATATGACTCGGCAGCTTGATACCCCAATAGTTGTTGCATTCCTAAATATCACATTTGTTCTTATACAACGGGATCATCAAACTCCACCGCCACTCTTCAGGCATCTTCTTCACCTTGAAAATGACATTAAACAACCATGTGTCACATACTGATTGTTTTTTTTTTTGGCCATTTCATGACATTTGAAACGCACTTTGTTATTATAAGAGATTATTAATTAGGTGTTCAATAGGTATATTTCAATAAACATTAAGTGTTTTGTTATTTTGTGGCTTCCTTGTATTTTTAGGAAACCTATAACCTTATAGGTTTAGGAAAACTCATTGTCCTAATAGATTTGGGAAAGGCTATTGTCTTTGTAAAATTGGGAAACCTTTCTCTTATAGGTTTGAGAATATTTGGGATCTATATATAGGGGTTGTAGTTGGATATTCTATATATTGTATTATGTTTTTCTTCTCATTTATAGTGGAAAAATCTCTATGTTTCTGACTCGATGATTAGGCTTAGCCAAACCTTGTTAAATCCTTGTATTGATTTTTTTTCATTTGCTTTGTGTGTGATTGTGTGCTAGTTAACTCATAATCTTCCGTTACAATTGGTATCAGAGCAATGTTCGCATTTCTACATATAATCTAGGGTAAGATGTCTTCATTATCTTCAACAAAGTACGAAGTAGAGAAATTTGACATGGGTTCCAATTTCAGTCTATGGAAGAATAGGATGAAATCATCCCTGGTGTTACAAGGGTTATAGAAGGCAATTGATAAGGATTTTCCTGAAGAGATTAAAGAGACAGAGAAGGCAGACTTGAAGGAGAGGGCTTTGAGTGCAATCTTCATGAGTGTTACAGATAGCGTTCTTCGGAAAATTGCTGAAGAAACTTCTGCAGTAATGGCATGGAAGAAGCTTGAAGATCTGTACTCCAAGAAACCGTTGACAAACCACCTCTACCTAAAAAAGAGGTTATATAATTTCCGTGTGAACGAAGGTATACTTGTTAAAACTCATATTGATGAGTTTAATTCAATTATAATGGACCTGAATAACGTAGATATCAAAATTGAGAGTGAGGATCAAGTCTTGATAGCATTATGTTCTTTACCGCCATTTTATGATACTTTTGTCAATACACTCCTATATGGGACGAACAGTATTTTACTGGAAGATGTTAGTAATGCACTAAAATCTAAAGAGTTGAAAAAGGGCTTTCTAAACAGCAGAACTGAATGTGAGGGTGTTGTAAGTAGAGGAAGAACACAGCAAAAGGACTTTAATAGGAAAACATTAACCGCCAAATCAAAGTCTAGAGCAAGGAAGCAGAACTATTATGAGTGCGAGGAGCAAGGTCACTACAAGAGAGAGTGTTCGGGGCTGAAAGAGAAAAGAGGAAAGAAGAAAGTAGATAATTCGAAAAATTTTGTTGACAGTAGCAATAATTCTGATGATAGCGATTATGTAGGGGAATTCTATGCCGTGAGTTCTAGTCATGTGCATAATTTCTAGGTTCTTAATTTTGGTGGTACTTTCCACATGTGCCCACACAAGAATTGGTTTACAACTTACAAGCAAATTAGTGGGACTGCCTACATGGGAGATGATAATCCATTACCAGTAGAGGGGATTGGTAACATCAGATTGAGAATGTTCGATAGAATTATCAGAAACATTGAATGTTGGCATGTTCCTCGAATAAAGAGAAATTTGATTTCTTTTTCGATATTAGATGATCTAGGGCATAAGTTTCACTCTGAGAATGGAATACTTAAAGCGTGTAAAGGCTCTATGGTACTCATTAAGGGTAAACTTCATTCTAAATTATATTATCTTCAGGACAATGTAGTTGAAGGGGAAGATGATGTAGCTTCTGGGAAAAGTGATCAGAATCGGTCTAAGTTGTGGCACTTGCGACTTGGTCATATGAGTGAAAAGGGACTGTCTTTGTTGACTAAGCAGAATTTGCTGAATGGGTACAAAAATTAAGTTTTGAATTTTTGTGAGTATTGTGTGTTTAGTAAATAGACAAGGGTAAAGTTCAGAAAGAATGCCAAGCACAAGACCAGAGATAAAGTTAGATTATATACATTTGGACTTGTGGGATCCAAGTAGAGTTCCTTCCAAGAGTGGTCCAGGTATTTTATGACTTTGATTGATAATTACTCAAGGATGGTATGGATGTATTTTCTGAAAATAAAAGATGAGGCATTTCTGATATTTGTTAAATGGAAAACGATGGTTGAGAGGTAGACGGAAAAAAAGTTAAGCATATTTGAACTGACAATGGGTTGGAATTTTGCAATTCCGAGTCAATAATATCTACAGCATAGAATGCATCGTGAAACACCGCACTTGTGTCGAAACACCACAACAAAATTGGTGTTGCAGAACGTATGAACAGAACACTTTGTGATAGAGCATGAAGCATGCTTTCAAACTCACGTGTTAGCAAGAATTTTTGGGCTGAAGCAATCAATACAGCTTGTTATTTGGTCAACAGATCTCCATACACAACTATTGAGTTCAAAACTCCTTTTGAGGTATGGTCAAGTTCGCCTGCTGATTATTCAAATTTAAGGATATTTAGTTGTCATGTTTATGCTCATCTGAGGGATGAAAAACTTGAGCCGAGGACAAAAAAGTGCATATTTCTAGGGTATGCAACTAGAGTGAAAAGTTATAGGTTGTGGTGCACAAATCAAAAGACTTCAGGGCTAATTATCAGTAGGGATGTAACATTCAATGGATCTGCCTCACTGGACAGTCAGAGGGAGAAAGCAGTAGCAGAAACAGATCGTGGTATCAGTGACCGCATAGAGCTAGAAATTGAATCTCCACTAGCTCAGCCCATCAGTTCTAAAGTAGAAGAAGTGGAGGAGGTGCAAAATATTAATCAAGATGATAATGTTGACGCACATGCGCAACAACAACCATATAGCATTGCAACATGCATAGAGAAGAGAGTGATCAACACACTGCAAAGGTTTGCAAACATAGTTTACGGGGATTTTCTTGGATATACAAAACCTGTGGGATTTGATTGGGCATTTGCAGAGACCGTTGATACGTTTGATTGTTATAGCTATCCATAAGCTATTCAGAGTACAGAACCAAATCGACGGATTAGTGATATGGCTAAAGAGATTGAGTCTCTTAATAAGTTTAGGCGTTGCCTAGACTTGGTTGGTGTGTGCGACAATGGATAGAGCCCTTGCGAGGGCTGCATGCAAGGTAGAGAGACGTTGTTCCCGTTGATGAAGAAAATTCAAGACAAGGAGAAGATTTGTTATTTTGTGGTTTGAATTATTTACTTGTATTTTTAAGAAACCCATAATCCCTATAGGTTTAGGAAAACTCATTGTCCTAATAGATTTGGGAAAGGAAAAGCTGTTGTACTTGTCAAATTGGGAAACCTTTCTCTTATAGGTTTGGGACTATTTGGGATTTGACAAACCTTTCTCTTATAGGTTTGAGGCTATTTGGGATCTATATATAGGAGTTGTAGTTGAGGATTCTATAGATTGTATTGTGTTTTTCTTCTCATTCATAGTGGAAAACTCTTTCTACTTCTACCTCGATTTTGTCAAAATATGTTTGAAATTTTTTGGTAAGTACATGTTTGGCCATAGATTTTATCAACATTTTGGCAAATTCCCAAAACCCAATGAGCTGATTTTTGGCCCAAAATATCACTATTATATTTTTTAAAAATTGCCCCAAACTTTCATATTTTATAAAAAACCCCACCATATATTATTTTGTAACAATACCGCCTCGTCTTCTCGGTCATCTGATAGTGTATTATGTAGTTCATTATAAAAATAATAATTTGTACCAAATTTATTTATGTTCAGGACTATGATTTACGATAATATAATGAATGTTATTGATAAAGGTTCTGTTGGGTGTTTGTGATAGTTTTTAGAACTTGTGGCATAAGTCATGTTTCATGTTTTTTCAAAAAAAAAGTGAAATATGTTTTGAAAACTTATGTCAAAACACATTTTCATCTTCAAACCAAACTTCACCCAAATCAGATTTTTCAAAACAAATTTGGGAATTTATGGCCAAACGCTAGCTTATATGTTTGGGATCTATATATAGGGATTGTGGTTGAGGATTTTATAGATTGTATTGTGCTTTTCTTCTCATTCATAGTGGAAATCTCTCTCTGCTTTGCTTCTGCCCCAAGGATTAGGCTTAGCCGAACATCGTTAAATCTTTGTGTTAATTTTTCTTCTCTATTTGATAGTACTAATTAATATAGTGTCTCTTGTTGCCTCTTTGAGCCGAGGGTCTCCTGGAAACAACCTCTCTGCCCCTCGGGTAGAGGTAAGGTCTGCGTACATATTAACCTCCTCAGACCCCACTTGTGAGATTACACTGGATTGTTGTTATTGTTGTATTTGCTTTGTGTACGTGATTACGTGCCAGTTAACCAACGATCTTCCACGACATGTTTAATAGGTTGGACCTTTAAATAAAACTTTTGACAAGTTTAAGGGGTCGCCATTATATTCAGCTTTATTTCCAGACTGCCACTGTTTCTTTTTTCTCTTATTCCACTTTTCTTCTTCGCTTTTTTTCCCCGAGGGTTTAATAAGTTGTACCTCAAGAAAGTGATATGATCTAGGAAATGTCTTATTCTTATCTGATAAATGGATTAAAAGGAAAAATCTGAGAGAAAGGAAAAGCTTCTTGCTTATGTATTTGTTGTTTTGGAGATGTTGAGTAGATGAAGCCCGAAACCTTGTGTATGCTTATGAATATTAAAATCAGAATTTATTGAATCTTTTATTTTCATGAGTTTATTTTGCATAGATTGACGACATAAATTTTTTAATACCAGCAGACCACACTTGAGCAGTATTATAAGTATTAATCATAATTAATGGAATTAGCAATACGAAAAATAAGACGTGTAAGCAAATTATACTAGTAAGATAAAATTTGAATGCACTATCCATGAGCATAAGTTAAATACTAATTTCCCTTTGATATTTAGCTTCCCTAGATTTGTTATTGTAGGAGGTGACTTCTTG